GTAGTATAAAAATCTGGGGGACAATACGGTCCAAGCATGCGAAATCTTCTCTTCCGGTTGCCGTCCGCGTCTCAAAAACGCGCGTGCTTAAGCTCCCTACTAAGCGAAAGAGGGACTACTCGTAGTCTATATAACAAATATAATTTTTTTTAATCAGCTGGTATAAAAGGAAGACTGTGGGAACCGATTCACAGAACGTGACTGAATATCACGGCCAAGAATTCGAAGTTACGGTGAAAAAAAATTTTCAACATGCTCAACTATCCAATGTTACATGAATTATTCACCTCCATTAATTTTGCAAAAATAGCTCTTCCTTTTCTGGCGTGGTCCGGGTTCGAGCCCTGGTCGGGGTAATTTGTATTGTGTTCTTGGGAAAGACACTTAACTCTCACATTGCTTCTCTCCACCCAGGTGTATAAATGGGCAGTTGGCGAATTTTATAGTGGGGGGGGAACCCTGTGACGGATGGATTAGCATACATCCCATCCATGGAAGAGTAGAAAGACTCCCTGAGTGCTACAAAAACTGGGATAAGCTGCGACGATATGGACCTAGTCTGCTGGCAGCCGGTTTTTTCTCTAAGGGTCACTAGGACGAGTGTTTAGTCATCGAGAACGAAAAAGGGCAGCATGGCGGTGGCCGAGTGGGGAAGAAGGCGGAACAAAGGCGGTATGGCACCCACGTCTCGTCCCATTCCCCTTTAGCCAAAACGTCTCGCCTCGTAACCCCTGCTGAATTTTGAGAGAAAAACAGACTGCCAGCAGTCTACTATGGACCACTTGGCCACGACGTAACCTTCAAAGTGAATCCTCAGAAATAAAAGTTGTCGAACGATTTTTTTTAAACTTTCACTGAATGTTCCCTACCGAGCACTGTTTCGTAAAATATACAATAAAAAAGATAGGCCAGCATACTTGTACTATAGTATCATCTGCGTTATTTCATCGGCTCACGCCACGTTTTGCAGTAGTTGGAAGCAAAGCTTTTCTAAAGAAATACTTGGGAAAAGCCTTGAAAGGTAGTGAGTCTTGAGCATATGGAACAATGTAATATAAAATTTATGTAACAATCACACAATTTTAAACGAAATCGACTGAAAACGTTCCTCGATTCGTTGTTTTCAAGGCCACAATTTCCTCCTTTGAGTAAAAGTTTTGTGTTAGCTTTTAGCTATCTTTTTTTTCCTTCCGAACAATTGTTTTTTAATTTTTAAACTTACTGACGACAACTCGTACACCAAAATTACATAACAAAAAAAAAAAATAGGTTACCATGCTCATTTAAGAGAAAACGACCATGTATTTCGCTGTCGAGTTAGCTCGAAGGAAATCTCTTGATGTTGTGTATATGCGCGCTAATGACGCAGTGCGCAGTAGGGATGCGCAATGCAATTGTGCGGAATTTTAACGACAAGCGAGCAACCTCGTTGCCAGGCCTTTTCCCTCTGGAAATCCCTAAGAACAACGTTGGACAATGGAGTTGTCGTTTTATCTTCATCAGGATCATGTTTGGTACTTTTCCCGTCACGTAGACAGAGTATGACAGTGAATGGCAAGAAACTACTCTATCCAAGATGAAAAAGACAAAGAGCCTCAGCGATTGAGAAAAATTTTATTTTAACTTATTAAATTCAAATTCTCCAGCGCGCAGATTATTCCAATAAAACTTGTAGTGGGTGGCTGGGTAGGCATAGCTCTGTTACTCAGGGGAATGGGATAGCTCGATAAACAAACTATGCGTGATTGCGGGAACATAACAATCAATGCATGAATCTACATCTTGAATTTTGCGCTGTTATACCTTAACAGGCAAGCCTAGCAAATATTATTTTTTAAAAAGCAGCCTTTTGTAGTTTGGGGCGTTGTATATTCACAGATAAAGCAAACGATCTTTCTAGAATTACGATAAAAAAATTCATGGACTTCTATTATGATAGCAGTTTAAAAGCATGCATTTAATTCAGAAATACCTCCAATTCTAAATACATGTACGCGTTAATTTTAACACTCATAATTATATTACTTTTTAAATTCTTAGTCTTAATTATATCTGTCCATGCGAAGAATTTCTACCAAAATTTGTTTGAAGGGGCTCTGACTTAACATTGTAATCTCAAAGCCAAACACTTTAGCAACAATAGGTGCATAAACCAATCAGAGCTCAAGGAAAAACCTGTAACCATTGGCAACCGCGAGTAAAACCTTCTTAGTAATGGTAACTTTGCGCGGGAAAACGTGTAACTGGCGGCAAGCGCGGGAAAACGTGTAACTTCTTGAAAGCGCGTGAAAACTCTCCCGCACACCTCAAGGATTTCTGGGTTTCGCCAGGAGCCCATGATGGGCTCCTGGTTTCGCTTAAGATCTCATCTGATTGGCTTCAGAAAAAATACTTTTTTATATATATGACTGGCTACAGTACGTTACAAAAGTTCTCAAACAATTTTTTAACTGTTTTCTTGTAAGTTGTTAAAAAAGTTCTCCAATTGTCAAAGCCCGCAAAGAACCAATGGTATATATATCTTTGATTGTTAAAGTCAAAAATTGCATTTACACTTCATTTCATTGTGGGTCTCAATTTGCCCTTATAACAAAACTGCGGCCTGAAACTTCCTTTATCCGCAACGAAATAATTCTTCTTCTTGTCTGTTTTTTTTTTTTTTTCCATAAATTTCACACATGTAACACCCCGCCCAAAAAAGATAATATTTACCACCAAGAGCGGGTCGTAGAAATACAATTTCGTCAATTAATTATTTTAGGTAACTAACGTTCCATTTAACTAGGTTAATCCTGAATATAAGACAGTAAATAAACAGTATAATTTTTTACTCAATGATAGAACCGGTTTTCCTCAATCATCATTTTCAATGTTTTCTTTTCAAGAGAATTATTGTTGAGACTGCCTTATATAAAGCAACCTTCAATTAACCTTAATCAAGTATAAACAAGACAGAGCAAACTATTAAACAACTTAGGCCTTGGACTAGTCACGCAATTCTTCAACGAAACTCGTCACACAATATTTTCCCACCCACAAACGTGACAAACCCAGAAAGCGTCGAGCACAAGGATAACCCTTTGCAAAAGCTATCTTATCTTTTGAGCACAGGGGGTCTTGCTACCCCATCTCTTGCTTATTACCAAGAAAGGCAGTTCGAGACTCAAAAAAACAAAAACAATAACATTCTGAGACAGTACATCCCAGCGGGGGTTTTGAGAGAGAGGGGTGGGGGGAATTCCCATATAAAGTGGCGGAAATGATCGTGGGCAGTTTTTAAAGGCACCAGAATCGTGTTTTGTGGCAGTGGCGCGAATTCATTTCACTCCTAAGCCGAATCTAAGAGGTTACAATCCAATCATCTATAGGAACTGGGAAAGTCTAACGTACGATGGTAGTTGTCCCACCCCTGTCACTTAACATGGCAACTCCCTCCCCCACCCTCCTCACCCAGAGCACATTACGGAGCTACGTCATCGGAATGAAATTTTTGGGAGCGTATTTCGGGCATTTCTCGACGTGGCAGTAGGAAGAATTGATCGCTCAGACAAAAGACGCCTGTTTACTGCAGGTGAACTGTAGCTGTGAACTTAATTATTACCATAGTGATTCAACAATCACTTAAAAGCCCCGAATTTAAACACCTGTAGCAAAAGAAACCTCAGGACCTTATGGAAACGAGAAACTTGACCATCATCTAGGAGGATGTTGAAATCCTCGGCGAAGCCGCCTCCTGCGAAAGAAGACACGATCATCAGTAACAAAGGTAATCGACGCTCTTCATTTCTTCTGTTTAATTCAATTTGCATAACTGGCACGAGCATACGGTAGAGAGGACGCCCACAACACAAGTATAGCACAAGCAAAACAAACATTTTTGTTCATCTTGTGCTTGCGCAGCTGCGCTTATATACGCTGTTGTAAGCATAAGCATGAACGTGAGCGTACAAGTCCGCCATCTTGTTTTACTGTATCGAGTAGGTATGGAACTGAAAATAAGGCAACTATCCATTCTGCGCATGCCTACGTGTTTACGCCGACTTTACACTTGTATCAATCAGCACCAACCAAGGATAAAGACATGCAGTTTAGAAAGGGTGAAGTTGTTCCGAGACGTTTTGTTTGGTTGTTAGAGGAAAATCTTGGTTAGTAATCTTACAGAAGAAGTCTTCTTTTGGGTCGTTTAACAGCTTTCCTGTTATGCTTCCATACATAAGCCTTTGAGTCAATGAAGAATAACAAGAGATCGATAAGAAAATAGAACAGAAACATTTCAAAAACAACGATCGATCTTCAAATTCTCCTAACGTTTTGCCTATCATTTCCTCTAATGTTTCTTTGAGAATTTAGCAGTACATCAAGGACAGGATTAACACCAGGCTCTTACCTCAAACGAAGACCGTTCATTCTTGGGGGGTTTGCTTGCGCTGTTGATCTCGATATGAACGAAGAGGCTTGCGTACCCTAACGCTTCTCCTTTGTTATTCAGCAAATGGATATGTCTGTATCCTACAAAGCAATGCATTTCACCGCAATGAGATGTGATTAAACACTGTCCCCCANCTCTTTGTTTTTTTTTTCATCTGCAGCGTGATGCGATTCCCGTCGACGCTTTGTGGATGATCCGTTTTGAGTCAACATGTTGTCCTTACCAATAGCCCTTTTACAGTTATTTTTTCTTACCATTCGATGCATTTTTATTTCTTCCTTTTCATTGGCCGCGAGCAAACCACATGACCTGGAAATAACTGCCTACAAATAATGGGCTTCTCATGCGTAAAACCGTCTTAATGTGTTTTGCTGCAAAATAATTTCTACTCATACGTAATTGTAACCATGATTGGTGAAAAATGGCAGATTAAATAAACCAACGTAAATGTGAAGCAATTTCAGGTAATTTTTTAGTTTCTGTCTGAATTGACTTGCATTCATATTGAATTCTTATTAGTCACACTTGATTGGATGCTACTCAGTTGCTGAAGTAATTTTTGTACGTTTTGTCAAACAATCTAACGGTACCCATGCATATTTTTGAATGCAGAAATTATTTGATAAATATTATCTTAACACAGTAAATGGTTTGAATCCAGGAGTATCAGTAGTTCGTATAGTGTGATCGTCAGGGTGAGTGTAGTTCTGAAAAGAACTGTTGTTGGTGACTGACGTTTCGACAACCTGAGCGGAAGTCATCTTCAGAGTCAAGTGAATAGTGTTTG